ATAATGCATCTCTCCCAAAACACTTCATGTATGCTTCAAAACAAAATATGTGTTTCATACAAATTGTCAGTAACCTCAAAATGCAAAGTCTCTTGAGTTGTGTTTCACATGGTGTTTTGAGAATGTCATCTCGGTTTCAAGAAATGAGCCAAACCAATTGAAAAATAAACGGTAAATCGACTTCAATTTGTTCAAAATGTGCAACAACGTGCCACCAAGAGATATAAGTTCAAAATATAACCAGTTGATTTCGCATCTGTTTGGAGTATTAGATGGACGTTTGTGTGAGTTCAGCTCATCTCTCCCCTGCTGATTCCTAAGGCAATGGCCACATTTACAAATGAAAGGATGCTAATTGGAGCCATCAGAGTTGTCCGGTTTGGAGCACTACTTTGACTAAGGCTGCGCTTTTTTGCGCAAGTGAACCTGGCTTCTAAATCCCCCGCTCCCTGGATTGGACATTGGAATGCAGTCTGGTGAGGTGGGTGTGTCTGAGTTACTTGTGTGCATATTTAAAACAAATGGCAGTTAATGGCCCGCAAATTGTTGAGGAGAAGGAGGGGGTTTGTCCTCAGGATCTTGAAAATCTAGTCACTCTAGTGCTAAGGGTCTTTTGACCCTTTTTCAGGACTTCTGGGGGGAGGTCGAAATTCCTGGGACTTCTAGTGTTAAATTCAACTTGCACCGACAGTTCAGCGATGAAACCTTTCAACTGGCTTCAGCTTCTTCAGCAGCTTTCAGCAAGTCATTCAGCTATAAGCATTCACACTGCATTTTTGCAGGAAGAAGAATTTATTTAGTTTGGTCTTTTATCAAGTGCATCTCCTTCTGCGTTAGGACTTGTGCTTTTCTCTTCCGTTGGATCTCAGCTCAGAATTTTCACTTCCATAGTCTCCAACATTAAACACTGTAGAAACAAGAAAATTAACCAGTGACCATCAGAACATTCTGTTCACCAAGACTGAGGAATTATTTTGTTTTCACTTCTAGTTTTCATACAGCTGTTTGTCTGAGGCTTACTTTTTAGCCTGCGTTTCTGCCTAAAGTGCTGTTGTGTTCTGCTCATTACCCTGTTGCTCCCCAAATGGGCTATAATCACCATGGCAACCAGTGATTCAGCAGATTCTGGGATCCTTAACCTGGGGCCAAGATGGTGTAGGGGCAGGGCAACCGACTCGGGACCCCAAGGTCCCTGATTCGATCCCCAGTCATTGCACATCTCGTGGTGTCTCTGAGCAGGACACCCTATCCCCAGTTGCTCCCCGGGTGCCCTCCACAGCTGCTCACCGCCCCACCCGGTGGCGGATGGGTTAAAAGCTGAGAGCCAATTTCACCATTGTATGGGAACATACAATGATGACAATACATAACACATTCAGTACATTACCCAGCATGAACAAAGTCCATGCTCAATAATCCAGGTATACAATCCAACATTTTTCAGTCAGGTCATCTGGACAGTTTCTTTTTTTGTGCTAATCAGTTTTGTTGTGTGTTTCCTTGACTGATGAAGCCTTCCGGATCGAAGGCGAAACATTTCAGCACAAAAAAGGAAACTGTCCAGATGACCTGACTGAAAAATGTTGGATTACCCAGCATGCTTTTCTTTCTTCTTTTTATTCATCATGGCCACCCCCATGCATCCTGTAGACTCTTGGTGCTTTCTCAAGATGAGAGTTCTGTGACAGAGTTAAATTCAAAGCAGTCCTAAGATAAATAATCTTAAATTATTATTTTTATGTGGGCAGCACGGTGGCGCAACTGGTAGAGCTGCTGCCTCTCAGCGAGCAGGTCCTTGGTTCAAACCCCGGTCCAGGGGCCTTTCTGGGTGGAGTTTGCATGTTCTCTCCGTGCATGCGTGGGTTTTCTCCGGGTGCTCCGGTTTCCTCCCACAGACCAAAAACATGCATGTTAGGCTGATTGGTAACTCTAAATTGTCCCTAGGTGTGAGTGAGAGAGTGAATGGTTGTTTGTCTCGTTTGTCTCTATGTGTCCCTGTGATGGACTGGAGACCTGTCCAGGGTGTCCCCCGCCCCTCGCACAGTGATTGCTGGACATGGGCACCGGCGACCCCCGTGACCCTAAATGGAATAAGCGGGTAAAGAAAATGGATGGATGGATATTATTTTTATGTATGAATGTTTCTGTTCAGTGCCCTGAGATGACTTCTGTTGTGACTTGACACTACATAAATAAACTGAATTAAACTCTTAGTTTGTACTCTCTAATCAGTCTTTGATGTTCAGGAGGATTCATTAAAAGTCATCAGATTCAGAATTTTATAGTCAAATCAAACAGGAAATGGTTTTGACCTGGAGTTTCAAAATTGTCAGATATTTTTTTAATTAACAGTAAAAAAAAATAATGGCTACCTTTGTTATGGTTTAAATTATTGCATAATAAGTCCTTTTGGGCTTTAGTTGATGATTGTTGGGAGGGGTGTACCCTTCAACATTTCTGCAGAAATGTTGCAGTTGTTTTGTGAGGAGGGTGGAGGAACGGGTCCAGTTTCAGTCATTTTGTTATTGATCTTGACTAAATGAGAAATGTTTCGATACTCTAAAATTTTTAAAATCCAGGCTGCCTTTTCCTAACAAACAGAAAGAATTAATGTTTTTTTTGTGTTTCTGTGGTTCTGCAGGCTGACCCAAGTGGTCCCAGCTTCCAGACTCTGTTCAACAACACCGAGCAGACCCTGAAGGTGGGTGATGGTGCAGCAGGAAATGTCCCTTTTATCCACCGTATTCCTAGCCCCCATGCTGCTTTGCATGAATTATGGGTGAAACTTCTGGCATGGACCAGAAACCGGTGTTTATGTGTGAACAGTATGAGCTAATGTAGTTTCTCTGAGCATTGGAATTTAATTTAAACATTTAGGAACACCACCTGTCAGAGCTCAAACAGGACAATATAATCATACTGCTGCCTGCTGAGGACAAGGGATGGAGGACGACCTGAAGAAGTGGCTGCAGATTACATCTACTAGCATATTTAGCTACTTATACTAGCATATTTAGCTACTTATACTAGCATATTTAGCTACATCTACTAGCATATTTAGCTACTTATACTAGCATATTTAGCTACTTATACTAGCATATTTAGCTATTTATACTAGCATATTTAGCTACTTATACTAGCATATTTAGCGGACTCTGACGCTCTAAATTGCTAGTTTAAGTAAATTAGCAATTTAGAGCGTCAGAGTCAGAGATTCTTTATTTTTGTTCGCACCACATGTGGTACATGTGGTGGAACAAAATTATGTACACAGGGTCCCAGTTACATCCAACAATAAAATGTAAAAGAAAAACAGTGATAACATCTAAGATATTAAAAACATTACGTCGGAACAGCAGCACAAACATGAGCATGAGACGATGAGCACGCATGAACACATCAACATGAAACAGATCAGCAGCAACATGTGATTTTTCACAGTGATTATTCTGGTTAGATATTCATGAGTCTTACAGTCTCAGGGTAGAAGCTGTTCCTCAGTCTAGTGGTTCTACACTTAATGCTCCTCAACCTCCTTCCTGAGGGGAGCGGGGCAAAAAGTGTGTGTGCTGGGTGAGTGTGGTCCTTCATGATGCAGGTGGCCCTCTTCCTGCATCTGGAGGTGTAAATGTCTGTGATGGTGGGGAGACTGACTCCAACAGACTTCTGTGCAGCCTTCACCACTCTCTGCAAAGCTTTTCTTTCTGCAGCTGTGCAGCCTCCATGCCACACGTTGATGCTGGAGCACAGGATGCTCTCCACTGCACACCTGTAGAAGGAGGTGAGGACTGAGCTTCCCAGACCAGCTCGTCTCAGCCGCCTGAGGAAGTAGAGTCTCTGATGAGCTTTCTTGGTCAGGCTGGAAGTGTTGCTCCAGCTGAGGTTGTCATTCATGTGTACACCCAACAAGTACTTGTAGCTGGAGACCACTTCCACCACAGATCCTCTTACGTTCAGAGTCAGAGTCAGAGTCAGTCAGAGTTTCTTTATTGTCATTCGCACCTCATGTGGTACATGTGGTGGAGCGAAATTATGTACACAGGGTCCCAGTTACATCCAACAATAAAATGT